GTTTATACAATCACGAATGTAACCCTAATCTGAAGACCCTACTATCAGCTTCTCTATAACATCAATTTCTAATATACGCAAAGAAATTAGTTCCGTATTTTTCCGCAATATGGTTAGAGTTATAATCCTGGTTGTAATTTGGTGTGCCAAAAAGTAAATAATTTCTATAATTGCTACTTTTATGCATCTAAAATCATTTGCCGCGTAATTAAAAAAATGTCTGACGTTTCTTGTACACCAATTTAGTTTAGAAGAAAGTTTTTGTTTTTAAATGCAAAGATAATTATACAGCTTACCTTGGTGTTAATCTGGTCTGACGTCATAGCAGATAATTTACTAATATTTAGTTAAAACTTCTATTTGGATATAATAGTAAGTGAAACTTTAAACTGTTACCAAATAAAACGTATGCAAGTTAGTGAATGTTGAAAAGAGCCATCGTTCTGGTATTCGATTAGCGAATCTATTCAGCAAAGAGCCGGAACATTAGCGCCACCTGCGCCCCGGAGTAGCGCTGAATCAAAGCGGGAACTAATGAGGTGTGCGCAAGCGGAACCTACCAGACATCCGATCTTTAAGAGAACTTTTAGATGCAAGCTTAGTGCTGTGAAATAGATTCTTCACAGATTGTTCGGTGTTTTTTCAACGATGTAATTTTATGTTTGGATTTTAAAACTGAGATTTTTTCTTTTAAGTTAGAATCAATATAAATATTTTGTAAATGACAATAACATTATTATTTATTAGTTGTTTTAAATGATATGACATTGACTAACCTTGCTATCAAGAGTGCGTTCAGAAATTACTTAAATTTATAGACAAACAGCATCTATGAACAAAATTATCTTTAACTTTTTTAATGGAAAGATGAGCTGTAGCACGCGACTTCGTCCGTGACATTTCAAAATAATAAAAACGTAGCCTATGTTAAATTACTTTTTAAATCAGTCCAGTAGTTTTTAAGTTACTTCAATACAGACAAAAATACAATAGTTTTTTTATAATTTATATCGTTTTTAAATTTGTATCGTATCGTTTAATAAATATACTTGTATTTTTTGTATATTGAATATACAAAAGTTTGAATCAAAACAGAGGTTACGTTTTCATTTGTTTTTTTCCCAAAGTACATATTAGACAAACATCTCTATCGAGTCGGTATCTGCAATTCTCGGGTGGAATTTTTAAATTCGACGCTAACTTTATACCAGTTTAGAGCGCTGCAAGCCTTTGACGTTCTCAGACGGCCACTTACAACAGGGTAACTGTTTTTTCAACATTTGCCTACACTTGCTTAGCTCGGAATCTCTTCTAATGTATATACCCAACTAGCTTACTTTATAATAATATACTACTTAAGCAAGTAATTGGTATATTAAATAATAGAATATCGTTTTCTTGCATACTTACTATTCTCTTTTTTTGGAAGTATCTACAACCTTTTAAGCCTATAGCAGATCTGTTAATAGTGATTCGCCATTTGAGCGAAATCAGTCATTTGCCAACTTCTATTATAAATGTCACATATTTTGATTAGATTAAGTATGAAAAAGTGTTTTTTTCTTTCTAACTTTGACCCTTATAAGATCTTTAAAAAGTACTTTTTTACTTTGTGCTTATTTATCATTAGGAAGTAAAATTAATTCAACTCTAAATTTAATACGATCAGTCATGTTCGTAATATTCTGAACATACGATGTGTTCTTTACAAACTACTCGAAAATTCTATCTGGTTTGTTTTTAATATAAGTATCGTTAGCTTTTAAACTGGATTTCAAAACCTTCACTCAAAATTTTTTTAACGTTATCTCGCTTTTTTTAATTTTTTAAATTATATTCAAAAAACTTAAGGTACATTTAATTCATTTTTCAATGTTTAATAATTTTTCTGATATTTCGTAATACAATTTATCTATACTAATATTATAAAGAGGAAAGATTTGTATTTTTGTATGTAGAAATAACTCCTAAACTACTGGGCCGATTTTAAAAATTCTTTCAACGTTACAAAGGTAATTTATCTGTGAGTAGTATAGGCTATATTTTTTAATTTCACGAGGGCGAAGTCGGGAGCAACAGCTAGTCTATCTATAAACTAAAAACATTTTTTTCATTATTTTTACTTCAATTCTTGTAAACTCAATTCGAAGTAGAGTCGCGTCACTAGTGATTTTCATATGCAAAAATGTTCACCGGAATATAAAATATAAATAACATCGAAAGCCGGAAAGGGTCAGTCCTTGAGACTTTTAAAGTCTCAATTGGCTCACACAGGTTTCCCAGGCTATATAACTATAGGTACTGAGCTAATTAGACTAATTAGAAACAACTTTTTGTAGGCGGTAAGCCGATACTCTCTGAGTGGGGCCGATAACGAGAAGTTTATAAAGGCGGTCGGCGATCGCGCACAGAGATAACGGCCGTCTGATTGCTGGTGATGTATTATATTTGTTATGATGCGATGCCGGGCTTGTATCTTCACGACGTTTTAGACTTTTGACGTGGAAAGTTGACCGGTTTGTGACGAGGGATATGCTTGTATGCGAGATTGTTGATTGATATTATTTGATTGGAGTTTAGTATTACGATTTGCTTTAACAAGTCTGCTGTTTTCTATGTAGGCTTTTAAATGATTTGTGTGGGTTTTTGGTGTTATTTAAACGGAAATATGTTTATAATTGTATTTAACATAGCTGTTCCCGTGCGACTTCATTCGCATGAAATTATGAAAATTTTATTTTATTGTTTGCATCTATCAAATTACCAATCACAAAAGTCAAAATGACAAGATATGATGACAACCTTGCTTCTTTGATGTTGGCAGCAACTTATGGTCTCTTACCCACATTTGGGTTTTAATCCATAATATTTACCCCCTAAGTTTAATGGCGTTAAAATATATAGCCTAAAGCGTGACGCAAGTGTAGGGCTTTTTATTAAAAGAAGAATTATTCAAAAATATACTGTTATTGCTTACATCTTAGGCAACAAAGAAGTGTGTGTTTACGCTTTATTATAATAGTATAGATGAAGCTTGGATTTTATATTTAAAGTTTGTATAGTTAGAAGTATGTAAAAGTTACTATATCTTTTTTTGATCATATTTGGAAACAATATTTGTCAATAATATTTTCATATTTTTTACTTATACTTTAATAGTTCTCATTTTGCTATATACAAATTTTATATTTTACATCTCGTATGCAAATTTCCTACAATATTTATGCTACTGTAACTTTTGAAATAGAAAAATAAATTTTATCAACTTTAATTACACTCGGGGATGCAATTAAAAAGCCATGGTGTTATCAAAACCGCAAAATTCAAAGGACCTCTGACTGTGTCCACGCGACCTACGACATTTTACATTAGTTCGAATCCAATTTAGCAGGCACTCGCTTTGACTAGACTGTAAGCGTACCCTCAGGTCGAACCTTGGGCCCATTGTGAACTGCGAGGGGAAATATCAAAGTGAAGTCATTCGATTGGGACTTGAAAAGATCAAATACGTGTCCCGTTTTGAGTACCTGTGACTTTATGCATTTTGTAAGATACGATTTTTTATGTGATTTAATAGTTATTTTGAAGATTCTTATTTATGTACATAACTAGCATTTCTATCCAGCTTTGATCAAATAAGTACAAAGGTAAGTAATATATGATAAGTTACTTATTGATAGAAAACTATTGCTAAGGGTTTTTGGAAGTCAATTAGTTATTGACTTTTTTAGTACAAGATGTTTTATACGAATAGATTTAAATGAAGTTTTTACAATTTATGAACAAAATTGATGAATTTAATGAAATATGTCAGAATCTTTTATAAATACTGATTTTGTTTATAAAGAAATACAATCATAAATGTTCTCAATGTTTGTTTCTATGATTCTTAGTTCAACAGACATAAGTACTAAAGGTAATTCAAATAAATCCAGTTTGTGACGTGACTTGTCACCAATAAGTTAGTGTAATTAACTTAACACTTATTCAAGTTGAATTATTAACAAGCTGTGAGCACTGGTATTAATAATATGCCAGTAATTGGCAACTGTTAGATGTAATAACGATTATATAACTCTGACATGAAAACAGTAATATGGGTATTTAAAAGATGACAACTCTTTGAACTGAACTAGGGTAAATAGATGTAACAAGCCATAGGAACATAATGTTACGGGATTAACAATTGTAAATATATTTTACATTATCACAATTACATACCCGTATTTAGTAAACAGTGAAAGAACAATTTAAAATGTTAAATAGGTCACTTTAAATTTTTTATACTCTTTGGTAGAACATAGAGTAAGCATAGAGAAAGCAATCTCTTCGTACATCTTATTCTAATTTTAAAAACAAAACAAACACATCATGCGCAGTCTGACGCAGAGAGACTACCGTTCGGTTGGTGTCGTGCTGGGTGGCGCAGCGCTCACTTATCGCTCTCCAATCGATTCATTACCGTGATCCATCGATCAATATCGCCACTCACGACTACAACAACTATTTCTGCTATGCAACAATAGATGGCGCTTGTCGGTAATTCGGAATTACCAATTAGCATCGGCTCTCTCTTGAGGATGCGGTACTGATTGTTATTAATGATTTCTACTCTTTCACCCGACCATATCTCAGTTTGGGTGAAGTTGCAATTTTATATGCAATTCACTTTTGAGATGTTTATGCTTACACATTCCAAGTTTGTATTAGTCAAACAACGTTTATTATTTTGCATAATTGGTACCACGACTTTACAAATAAGAAACTTGGAATCTATTGTACCTTTTTGTTTGTCGTTTAAGATAGCAATTGTTTGTTGGTTAGGTCATAATATTGTTGTAATTTTCAACAGGTTAGCGGATGTCGTAAGCTCCGTGGTTGTATCGGCGTGGTAGGGCGAGGCAGCGCTGGTAGCGTGGTGGTAGAGAGCGAGCGGGGTGGCAGGCGGCGCGGTGGCGTTGCACGGGGGCTGGGGGCGCGCGCCGGCGCCCGCGCACGCCGCCACGCTGGTCGGCGGGCTGGTGCCGCCGCGGGAGCCCACCACGGCGGCAGAAGCCTTCTGGAAAATGCCGCATAAAGGTAACTATTAACTCCGTTACAACTATCAATTGAGTTTCTTATTTTACCACTTATTACAAGGTTACAAGAACTTTAGTTATGACTGCGGAGTGGTACAGAGAAATAGACGTAGAAAGAGATGGATAGATTGCGTGGAAGTTGGAATGACCAAGAAAGGAGTGGTGATTGAGATGATGGATGATAGTTAGTTATTTAGAGGACGAAAACCCGGTGCGGCGACCCTATGGGAGTAGGATAAGGCAGGGGAGATGATGTTGATCTCTCTTTGATATTGATGTTTACCAAGACCTTGACCATATATACACACATATACATAAGACTGTTTTAGATGATCGTTTGTTTTCATTATTATATCATTATTTCTAACACCGTGTTCGAACCGTAACCGAATTCACACATGCATAGGAACAGCTACTTATAGTCAAGAATTTAATAGTAACTGAAAGCTGAAACATACGTCCAAAGAAGTTGAAACTTGGCCGCAAAACACTCGAACATCGCAGTTCGTAAAGCAAGAACCCAGAACTGGCAATAAAGGAACTAACTAGGATGCAACTTGTACCGCACAAGTCGACAATAGTTTACAAGTTAACAATATTGGTCCCGTCTCGCTGTCACGGCGTCTTGACGAGGTTTTCTTAACTTCACGTTGAGTTATAATGATGCAATGTGCTTCGCTGTTTCGTGTTACAAGTTTGTTAGTGTTAAAGTTAATTAAAAGTAGATGCGAAATTATTCTTCAGAGTTTTAAAGTTTATTCAAAGTTGTTGCAATTTAATGCAACAAAGTAAAACATTTCGATCTGAAAATGGATTCTAGTCCACGTTAACGGGTGTAAAATTCACATCGAGCTCGAATTATTTGCATGAATACTATAACATGTTATACTGGAAATTTGCTCAGCACCAAACTTAGTTTAAGGCGATTCTAACCTTTCCTATCGATATGTGTTCTGCTTAATAGAGTGTCTATTATTGGAGAATACAAGAGACATTATCAACCTTGCTGGTAGTTTACTTTCTAAGTCTAATATCAATAATAATGAATAAACTCATCACTTTAAAATATGGACATCGTTTATAGACAAAATTGTAAAAAATACTTGCTCTAAATCAAGTTTTAAAATCGTTAAAACGATATTAGAATTTAAGTTTCTGGTTAAAAAAAGTCTTGGCAAGTTGCAACTTTTGAATAAGTAAGTGATTTTATAACTTTTTATCTTGCTACGGTACTTAAATTCGCTTGCAGTCTTTTAAAATATTACAAAAAACATTTTCTAAGTTATTTATTAATGTTGCTTGAATTATGATCAGGAATTTGTTATTGTAAATTATATAGTCTTAAATTGAACATAGATTTTTAGAGATAAATAAAATAAATAATGGGTAAAAAATATTTCTGTAGGTACTAAGATGTTGAAATTTTCAATACTTTACAACATTGAAAACTTACGTTTGAATTATTCTAGACAAATTATATAAAATAAAAAAATAAGTTTCTTTTTCTGTCATATCTGATACCTTGTCACGTTTTCAATTAATATTCCAAGGTATTATAAACAATATCACAAATAGCTTCTAGCTTAGATGCAAAAATGTCAGACCTCGCAATTTGCATAAGTTGACATGCACACTTAACAAATAAAACTATTCGATTTTCAAACGGAAACAGAGATTAAAGCATGGAAATATCAGAAATAATATTTAAATTCGGTTTGCGTCTTGGCTGAGCGCGGTACAGAAATATAATTACAGCCGTACCGAAGTCGAGCCAAGCAAACCGAGCATGCGGCGATTGTGTCACATTAAGCGACAGATAAAGACAAATAGACCGGAAAATCGGTTGCCAGAATGAGATAAACAGAATCTTCTTTGTCACGCCGTTAAAGGAATTTTAATGATTAAGTACCTCTTCGATTCTGCAGACCTAGTACTTGATGCGAACTTGTTATTTTCCGTCAATTATTTCAAAATAGGAATCTGTTTTTAACGACCATAATAAATCATTAAGCATGTAATTAATACATAGCTGGATATTAAAGAAAATAACTGTATTAATTCATAAAAAAAATCATGTTAACTTTTGGAATTTGAGGGATGATATTTAAAAATACTGTACATGGTAGGTAGCTTTTCTTTCATATAATGGGATATGTTACATAAACCTAGAAAAATATTTCTTTGTGATGGTTTTTAAAACAGGTTTTATTTTAAAATGCCATTAGATTTATTAATTTATCGTATAAAAATAAAGCTACATGACTTTAAAGACATTGGCCGCGTTGTCCACGTAAAAAACAAAACAAAAGAACGCCGCGACGCATGCGCCAAGCCCTTTTTTATGCGACCCTGTGACGTCCGTTGACGGGTATTTTATAAAATGATATGGGACGCCTAATTTTTTCAATTCTTCGAAAATGTTTTCGATCCAATAAGTCAACTTGAAATTTTAGATATTAAATGAACGAAGAAATTATGTAGATAATCGTACACTGTGTCAATGTTCAGTAAAAATATTTATTCTCTTACGCGATTTGCATATGTTCCTATCGGTGTTTTGGACAACAAACAATTATTTAATTTACATATAACTAGTTGTTATCTTTTCTTGTACTAACATAGATTAAAAAACAATTGCAGTTGTATTTCTTATTCTCTCGTACTTGTATTTGTGCCAAAAAAGAAATAGAATAAAACGATCCTTGTGTCAGAAATCGCGAACCTTTTTTCCGTTAAACGCACATAAGTGTCAGTGTAGTCGCCATAACTCTCTCGAGCACTGCATCGTTTGTCAATAACGTTATTTTTTCTCTGTGCCCATACACTAAAAGGGGCGGGGTTGACGATATGCGCCATAAATTATGTCACAGCGAAACAAACGATCCTCGCGCTGGATGCATGAATGAAACGTTAAAAGTGTTTTATTTTTAGTGACAAAAAAAAATCAACCGTTTGTTAATACTTATAAAGTTATTGTCATAGTTGTATATTTATATTTACGCACAAGATTAGAATAGACTAAAACTATATGTCTATTTTTACTGCTTTTTTTTTAAACTACAGACTATGTTACAATTTTCAATCTATCCAAAACTCATTGGTTAAAATCAAACCTAAATTATATAAAAAATGTTGTTAAAATGTATTTTCCAACTCGTAGCAAGTATGTTTTATTTAAAAAGATTCATATCATATTTTAAAGGCAATTATATATAAAAAAAAAAACGAAAAATAAGTAAAGAGATCATGTATAGTGAAATATTATCATAATTTTAAATTTTAACGAAGTTAACGCATTTGAACTGAATCAAAATGATCACATCCAGAGCAATAACATTTATTAATTATTTACAGTAGTATATTTTTTACAGAAGCAAACGAGTTTTCAAATTAACATACATAATTTATTTGCTATAGAAATTTATAAAATAAAACTCAACGTAAATAACCGTTAATGATAACAAAAAAAATGTTTCGAACCCCGCATAATCCAAACGGGATTTGGATGCATCCAAAATGGCGTTTACTGTCACAATTAAACTTCCCCCTATCTATAGATTTAAGCAATTCAAAAACAGATACAAAATAATAATAATTGGGGTATAGGTGGAGGGGTTAGGGCCAGGTGTGGACTGTCATACGCAGGGTTACAACCCTTATGTAAAAGATGTATATAATTGCTTGATTAATGTTTAATGTAATTCAAACGTTTAGAATGCCACTCTGAGTACCGAGTTAACGAATTAAAAAAATTATCACTTGATATTTTGTATATAGAAGTCTAATTTTACATCTTAAATTTGGTTTTTGACCTTTATTGGTTTAATACCGTATTTAAAATAATTGTTCTCGTTTAATTGTGTGCTTTTTTGTTATTTTGTGTTTGCAATTTCGTTAGTAACCTAGCATTGCTGAAGTAAAAAGTTTCGGAATTGGGATAAACACAAAAAAAATTGTAGTTCTAAAATTTTCAAATATTAACATTTTGCCAAGTTAAATAAATAATGCTGAAAACACTTGCACATTTCTAAATAACATGATCATATATTAGAGCGATACTTATTTATCTAAGATGATTAATATTAAAAAAAACAACACTAACACGTGTAGCAATTAGCATAGCGTTCACATTTCCAAAGCAGCACACATCCAGTAGACACTACCAAAACACGGAGCCTGTTTTCGCGTATACGAAACTGCGCCGTGCAAAATAATAGTGTAAAATAATAAAAATAAACCTACAACTATACATAAATTTATAGAGTCGCGCCCATAAAAACGAGGATTAAAAATAAATCGCTCGAATAAATTGCACCTCTGAAATTAAAACACTCCCTCACACGACACGCGTACTTGCGCTCTATTCGTTTGGTCTAAGCGATAGACGATAAGTCCGTCTTCTGGCGTACCAATTTACACCTATTTAAAACACAATAAAACATGATATAGTTTACTCGTATGTTATAAAAAAATATCGCTAAAGCAGTTGTTATATAATTAAATAATTACATGCGTTACTCATATAACAAACGATATTTTCATCATCAGCCTATCAGTCCAGTGGCCTAAATGGCACACATTAAGCATTTATCATGTTTTAGAATACACACTATTAATTTTATTTAGAGCCCTTTTTTTCGAATTCTTGAATTACATTTTCAGTAATAATTGGACAAAGAAAGGACAAAAATGCTGACGTCAAAGTCTGAAAACTTAACTCTCGAAGTAACGCTGACGCTTGTAAATTGTGTCGATGTAAACACGGCGTGGGGGTCTGCCGTAGCGATTGTCCATTGTTCTTTTAACAGCCGCCCGCTTGTTAGCGCGACCAACGAAAGGTAAAGCACCAAGAGGTGTTATTAATAACGGGCTTCGGCGTGAAAATACGTCATTTAATTGGCGAACGTCGGCACTAATTCCTTTTCGCGGGGCAACGAACGCGATCAAAACATTTTCTATTATGTATAAATATTTTTTAATCACCATTCTATATAGTACGGCGATTGTTATTTATTTCACGACGTAGATACTCTTGTTTTTTAACAACCGATGTTGTTAAGCTAGGCTTTTGGTACTAAAATTGAACTTAAACAAAACTTATTTGCATTATTAGTTAAATAAGACCATATTTCAAACTATATTAAAAATAAATTGTTAAATAATTCTTCGCGATTTTCGAGAATTAAAAAAATCTAAAATCGATTATCATCTGCTTAGTTCCTTGCAAAAACTCAAGAGGCCCGACTCAAGTGCACCGGTGCAAAATCCTCAGAGCTTAGACGGAATCTTTTCAAATAGTTTATACCAAATACGTATCTTCACAAAAGTGGTCAGGTATCCGTTCGCCTACGCAGATACCTCGCATCCTAAACAAGAGTATTAAAAAACCTTAACCCGTTTAAAAAAATAATCCGCTTGGCGATAGTGAAAAAGGATTTTAAGATAAAAAAGGGTTTCGCGGTGTTCGAAAGAAAACCGCAAATTATTATCTAATCCCTATCGAAGTGTGGACCTACGCCTTATTGTGGCGAATGATCCGTTATTTTTTAACATTTTTAACAAAGTTAGGATTGTTCGGATCGTATTTTAACAAAGAATTGCTGTATAACCCAAAAAAGTATAGTTAGGCACTGTTAAGTTAAACGTGAGTTTTAACTCGGTGATATTATAGACTAGCTGAACCCTTGCGACTTCATCGGCATAAAATTATGAAAATATTATTTCAATGTTTACATGTGTCAAATTATCAATTGCAAATGTCAAAATGACATAACATGATGACAACCTTGCTTCCTTGATGTTGACAGGAACTTATGGTCTCTTTCCCAAATTAGGGTTTTTATCCAAAATATTTACCTCTAAGTTTAATGGCGTGAAAATATTTAGCTTTAAGCGTGACGTAAGTGTAGGGCTTTTTATTAGAAAAAGAATTATTCGAAAATATGCATCTGATTGCTGTCATCTTAGGCAACAAAGAAGTGTGTGTTTACGCTTTATTATATTAGTATAGATAGATTTCAACGTGGTTATATAACTCAGCATAAATATAACAGACTCCATTTGTATCATTGTATCATAATTTATTGTTCAAGATATGATTTGTTTAAAATCCACGCTGGGCGCTAGTTTCGATAAGGGTTTACGAATGATAAACCTAAAATATATTAGAATCACTGTTGTGTTTTATGGCAAGGCCCTATGCTTTACTTAGTTAAATTGGTCAAAAATTTTCAATACGTTGATAGAGAAAAGCATTCTGTGAATATTTTAAATGACATTCACTGGCATCGCCTTAATGAGAACTCATAATTATAATGATTTAACGTACGTCGCCTTTAATCTGGACCAAATTACAGATGTCCCCGCCATGTGACAGTTGTCTGCGCACAATTATAAACTTTCCCGCCATTTTTTCGCGCCAACAGATCTCAATGGATGCATTAGATCGGATGCGTTCAACCAACGGACAGATAATTCCTTTTTTTACCCACCCCTTACAAACACGCCTCGCGGTAAAAAGTGAACAATTGGATGCAATTTGTGGGCGAATTTAGGGCAGGCCTTGATTAAGGCCCTAAAGGGTGGGGGGTCGGCTAAAAGTTCATTGTTTTGCGCCCTTTTTTATGCGGTCGCCTGCTATCGTAATTCTGTATAGCAAGATTGGAATGGATATCCCTTTAATTTAATATTTCTTTGTTTCCAAATTGTATTACTCGAAGTTATTTCCTTTGCATTCGGATAGCAACAAGATTAGGTAGTAGCATCGACAATATGCGTAATGGGTACACGGTACTACCCTATGTATTTAAGCAAAAATTATCTTTGAATTTGTAACTGGCAATATCCTCAAGTTATGTTTTTTTTTATAATTTGAGGCTGGCTATATTTTTAGCTACCTACATTTAGAAAAAAAAATGTGGTAGGATTAAAACATTAATTCTTTATTAGGTGACTTATTTCCAATAACATCTTATGACTAATTGGTAACCTTCAGTTATAAAATTGTCACACAGTTTTGTTTTATAAATAACGAATAGATGCTCAAATGTTTCCTCTTAAAATGTATCCTTGTGTTTGAAATATTGCGCACATTAATTGTTAATTGAAGGCGTATTTGTAGACGAGCTGATGCACAGCGCCGCGATGGGCAGCGGCGCGCTGTTCGGCTGCTCGTCTGCAGGGCATAGCGGCATCAACCAGCTCGGCGGCGTCTACGTCAACGGCCGGCCGCTGCCCGACTCAACGCGGCAGAAGATCGTCGAGCTGGCGCATTCAGGAGCAAGACCCTGCGACATCAGCCGTATCCTCCAAGTCTCCAATGGATGTGTCTCCAAGATACTTGGCAGGTCAGTTTATAACAAGTTTGTTGAACTACACCTTTATTAAATCCCTAAAGACGTATTGCTATAAAATACCACCTTTGAAAGACCAGTTTATTGTCATAAATTATGGTACTAATATATTTGCTGAGAAATGTCATTTCAATTGTCGTAATTTACATCACCTAACGTAAGAGATCGGGGATTCCGTCATGTGGTTTGTCATCGTGTGGTCTAATCCCCGAATTTCGTTCATTTATGGCCAACGATTTTTAAAAATCACTTGTATCCAGTTAATTTAAAAGTTCGTTTTTTTAAAGAACCAAGAAATATGATGAATTCTTTTCAATTTCGTATTATAATAGGACTTTCATGAAACAATCGAACGTATGCACCCAACAAAGACGCAGACTTCATTGTAGCGTCAACAAATTGTAAGAATCGATTATATCAAGTAAGATGGGGTCAAATTCTTGGGACACGCGTTAACAAATTGACATGGTTCCCATAATACCTGCAGAGGTGTATAAAAGGAACAATAAATGCGGACAGAATTAAGGAAATATTTCAATGACTTAATCAATACAATACGATTATAATAGTTTGAGTTTGCATTCCCATAGTGTGGCGGGGTATTGTTTTTGGTGAATGGACGCATGCTCTACGGGTGAGGTGGGAATCGACGCAGGGTGCTTTAGGGTGCCAATACTAGGGAGTTCTAATTTCTCTGCCGATTTGTTTGATTGCGATTTTATCGCGAGGATTTCGGCCCTCGCTGTTGAATCCAAATTTAAAATGCTCATACCAAAATGCAAAACAATCTTAGGGAATCGAATGAGATTATACGTTTTCAATTCCAGTAAGTAAATATATCTCTGTGTAAATGATAAAGATTTGATGTTATTCTGTTTATTGTTGATTCTGATATTTTTAATATATTGAACTCTCTTCATAATCAGTCAGTTCTTTTAATTGAAGACATTTCTTCTACATATATCTGTCTTCATGTATTTTAATACACCTTTGAGTTAAAGGACCGCATGTTTTCTTTGTAAAATGTGCTTATTAATTATTTAAATTTAATAAAAATACATATGAATTAAAAAATTATAAATGAAAAGTCAATAAAGAACAATGAACAATATCAAAGACTTGTGTTGAAGTGTCAATCAAAGAAACTGGGCATTTTAATACAGGGTGTGCCTTGCAGGGCTGTCCCACGACCGCCCCTAAATAAAAATGAAAATAAAACATTATTTCGTGGTAATTGGCACCCCTACTGCGGCAGACTGCTTGACGCCACTTCAAGAGATCTTATAGGAAAGTGATTTGGCCGGGGGGATCGTTTCGCTCGCGGCGGCCCTTGCAATTGTAATGCTTTTACTCGTATAATAAAACAAACAGTTGTTTTTTTATAATTGTGTCGGAAAATACACATGTTATAACTACAATGGATCTCTTTTTTAGAAATACTGTCATCTACAAGACCTGTAGATTTTTTAAATATTTGTTACTTAGCAGGAAATTGTAGTAAGAATTAAGTTTCTTTGGATCGCCTCAAATTATATAAATCAATTTGTACTCGACTAACAACAACTGACAAGTATGTTTTACACAATTGAACAATCCTATTATGTTATAATTTAATTACTTATGCATTACACGTGTTACATTATTGTTATACCTAGCTATAAAAAGGCCACATTGTAGGAAAACAGATCATTAAATATACTTCCTCGTTTATATAAATTACAAATAAAAATGTAATTCTATAAAATGTTTATTTGGTTTATAACATCAGATTCAGTAGGTCTTTACTATTTCCCTGTCATTTGTTTGTTGTCAGTTGTTTCTTGCTTAGTATAGTAGTTAGTAATAATCACCAACACCGACCACACCCATCTGCTCAGTACCATCAGTTAACACGTATTTTGGTGTGGCTATCCGTACAACTTCAATGTATATACGGTTCAATTGAAATTTTGAAAGTGGAAGAGATCAAGCCATTTAGACCATACCAAATCATAGGAAACTAGTGAGTAATGGTGAGCGAAAAGTGCATGAATTTCTCTTTATTTTGGAACTGGAAAATCTGAGGGTTTGATCATATAAAACCGTGGCTGCAAATGCACCTCATGGTATTTTTCCCACACACCCCTAGACATTCTTATCGTGCCAATTACTGAAAGGGGTTACTTCTTGGGGGTCTGCAGAAAGGCAAGCGTGGCGGGAATCCTAATTAAGAAGCACCCCCGCTGCTTTCCGTTTCATTCTTGATTTTGTTTTCAAGTGCTTAGCTCTCCGACTATGTGTTATCCGAATTGATTTTGTGACGGTTTTTTATACTTCAATTGGTTAAAGTTATTTTTATTCTTCATTCACTAAGTGCAATAATTGGATTATTATGTTTTTCTCTCGTAACATATCGTTGAGTACAGAAATCTATTTCAATTTGTTATTCTCATTTAATACAATATAAAAAAGCGCCTAAATGCCTATCTGGCTTTAAAATGCAATACCTTAGTTTTTTAATTGAAAATTTCATCTTAAAGCTTTAAAGTTCTAACATATTTAGTTTTAAGCCGTTCACCAAAGTACTTACGCACAGCCGTTTCGAGGATAATCTCTATAAAAACAATTTCCGATAAGAGTTCTATTAATTTCGACCCCCTGGAAAATTCTGAATCTAATCTTCGACCCCCCTCAAACTATACACGAGAATAACTATATAAGATACATTTGTAATACAAACGCAGTTATTGCTAACAACAAGTTAATGATGGTAAACGATTCGGTATCGCATTATTAGAACCGAACGCAACTGATTTCGATCAATTTATTGTTGTCGTTTGCAATAACCGCGCGGTTGGACGCTAAATTGTTCGCAATTTCTGTGCCGTCGTTCTATTGTACGATTTACCGGTATGAGACCTTTTTGTCTACTTGTAATTAGTTCGCCGGATTTATTAATTTTAATGAGTTATATCTGTAGATCTTGTAACATTTACATCGCATATTTTTTTAATAAAATATTTAGTATAGTTATTCCATAATGAGTTTTAACAAAGATTTTAAATGAAATCTGGATTGTCTTTAAAATGTTGCAAGTAAATCAAAAAATCAATCTTTTAATCTTATCTAAGTTTCATTAAAAAAAAAAGACAAAAACCGATAGTTTCTGTGAGATTAGGATTGTACCGTAAATCTATGCTAGTCAATTAAACTGTAGTTTTTTTTACACACAACGAGACTTATTCCAAAATCCTACGCCCAAGGCGAAACCGATTACCCGTTGCCAAGGGCGACACTGCTCGACTAATAGTCCTCCAACTCGAGTATTATCGACAGATGACACGCTCTACCAATATTGTTTAGAAGCGTTGACATTTTACGTTGTTATTTTTAATCTGACCCGTTTTTTCTCTTTATCTGGCGCAGTTTTTGAATCTGGCAGCTTTTTCGATTCGAACTTGTTTTTTTTTACGATTCTGTTGATTCAGTGACGTGTGCTGTCAAACGATAGATGCTTATTCGATTTTTGCAATATTGCGTTTTTTTATTTAATAAAAAATATACTTTATAGTTTTGACATGAAACATTCGTTGAATTCTTCTTAATATTATTGCATTTAAAACCTAGTATTTATTGATTAAAAAAAATATATTGTAATAACATCTGCATTAACTTACAATAAATCCGTTTAACAATGTTTTTGAGTACATCCTGTACCCAAAGTTATCAGCTAAATCTTTGCCAGTTCCAAAATCCTTATGCCTTTGATCTTAAGATACATTTCACAAGTTACTACGCACTGGCAAATCTAAGTTGTATAATGTTTGTATAGGTACTTCAAGTTAAGGGGATAGTTGAAGAGATTGTATTGGTAATTGTGTACTAATGCCTTTTAAGTTGGGCCGAGAAAATGTTTTCTATATTCGTAACATAGTCGACATTATTTGATATATTTAAAAATAGTTAAATCTTATTGAATAAAATCTTTCTAGATGTTTTGTTCTTAACTTTGGGGTATAGTCAATCGGGATTATTGGTTTTTACAATTAGATTCAAGAATTCTTAAAATTTTTAATCGTCGTTCAAATTTTACTTATTTTCCTGCAACTTATTCCATTTAGGCTTTAGGCCTGGGTTAAGATATGACCAAGAAAACTAGATTTTTAGAATTCGAATCCTCGACTACTAAGTCATTTATATGTTCCTTTAAACACTAGTAGCCTACTGTTGACATTTGACGTTTCAATTTTTTTATCTGTGTAAATTACGATCTCACCACATTCCACAATCCAAACTAAGTTCAGCTTCGCACGCAGATATTACGAGACGGGGTCGATAAAGCCCCGCGCTATCGGAGGTTCTAAGCCGCGGGTGGCGACAACACCGGTGGTGCAGAAGATCGCCGATTACAAGCGCGAGTGTCCCTCAATCTTCGCCTGGGAGATCAGGGACCGCCTGCTCAGCGAGAACGTGTGCAATAACGACAACATACCGAGCGTGAGTATTATCATTGGTTTCCATTGCCGAGACACTTACAAAAACATATATCCATCCCTTCCCTTCTTTAAGGAAAAACAGAGATAGCAATGTAGATTAACCTATAGACTTTTGTATTATCTGGTTTTAGAAGTAATGGTTATGTCACAGCAAATGCTACAAATTAATAGGAGACTAACATCGCATTCTAATATTATAAAAGGTTTGTATTTTTGTATGTATTGGTATCATTCAAAAACTACTGAGCCGATTTTAAAAATTCTTTCACCGTTAGAAAGGTAATTTATCTGTGAGTAATATAGGTTATATTTATTAATTTCAAGAGGGCGAAGTCGCGAGCAACAGCTAGTTGTAAACATAACTAGTAATTTCAATCACAATTTAAATAAATGCTATATTAAAGCGATTAACCTTTACTCATAGATGTATCTCAAAGTAGAAGTTCCAGTCGATTCTAAAAGTTGTCTCTTACAAAGTTCAATTGAGCAAATCCAATAGTTTGTCCTTGTGCTTCTGAGAGGTTTGAGCTGAATTTTCTATTACAACTCGTGAACTATCTTATATGTTTTGATTAAGAAACTATTAAAATCTTTATGTTAAACTATGTTTCGCCCACGACTCCGTTCTTGTGGAATTAATTGAAAAACAAAATGTTGCCTATGTGGTCTAACGTCTATCCTCTACATCTATGCTAAATATCATTGAGATCTTTATAGTTTAGGCTACAAACTCTTACCATCCATCAATCTATCCTTTCTCGTTTATAATATTAGTAAGACTAATAAGTAGAAAACTTAAACTGATTTATTACAAGTTATAATGTTTGTATTATCACAAGTAACGTTTGTTTACCAAAAGAAACTTCTGGAAGGGACATCTATGAATTCGTTTTCTTATTCAAAATTTTACGTCCACTCATAGAACATAATTTCGCACACATGTCTATACCTTTTGAATAGGCAAAAAATACAAAAGTATTTAAAACGACAATGTCCGTGTCCAAACAACTTTCAATATTTGTTAAATTTAATTAAATTTACCGAACATATGTCTTGTTATTGTGTAGTATAGGGTGACCATGATTTTAGACTGTTAATAAGGATTGATTTATTGTGCAAAATTTGAATAGGAGTTAAGTAACTAATTGTTAAATGGCTATCACTGACGTGTATTTTTCCCTGAGCGCTAGCCTTTAATAATTTAATATAAAAATGCCTGATGAAATCTATATCTTAGGGCCTGTCCCACCACTGGCTGATAGAGGCTCAGATATCTTAAAAATAACGTCATTGTCAGGGAATAATATCCGATATTTCCATCATATATCCGTTCAATTGTTATTAGACAATTTATTATTTGGTTGGACAGACCCTATATCTACATTCGTTTTAAACTTTTATTGTAAACAAAAAAAATAGTAATTATTAAAACAAATACATTTTTCGTTTGTTGTCTAAGTAATACCTGAGTGTAGAATTTTATGGACATAGTAACCATTATGATAATAGCAATTATTATTATTATTTGAAATATCATGTGTTCATCATTTTTATTTCCATTTAAGTCAAAATCATGGTCACACTTGGACACAATTGGATATATTAAACGACAACACTTGGTCCTTAATCCAATTTCATCACATTAAAAATTCTAAATGTTTGGGAGACGTCCATTGTCCAGGTGATCCCTTCGAGAACATAATGCAGTGGAGTCCACTCTGCTGATGTTCGATTCATACAAAATCATCTTCAATGTTGATGTTGGAAGTTTATTACTTCTTTGTCGTACAATAATAGAGTTATCATTTTATCTGATCTATTATGAATTTAAAAAAATAATATGGAGGCTTTTAAATGTTATCTAAGTAATTATTATACTAATCAGTTTACGAAATGTCATGAAGTTTCTTATGTTTGATTAATTAAGGTGTTGAATATTTTTGTCCCAAAGAATTTTATGCCGAAATCATGTTTAATTGCAAAATTTCTTATTAAGAAATAAATACAAAAATTCTCAATTAAAATAAATGAAAATAACCGTAAAATTTTAAATGACATGATGAAATACATTTATAATCCAACGATCACTATGAAAAATATCGTATACAACGAAAAATAAAGCTGTACTCGAGCTGACAACGTTGGTAATCGAAGCCGACACTTCGAAACGACATCTGCCGGTCGGCGAGCGCAAAAAATATCAAAGGTATATTGTAATTTTTTTTTCGTCCACCGACATCATTCATCGAGCCAATTTTTCTGTTAATAATGTCAAAACTACGAATGTGTTTCGCGAATTTATACAGAACGATGTAAACACTCAGTGACACAATACAGTTGGGTAGGTAGAAAAAATTTGGAGTGTCCATGTTATAGGTTTTGTAGTGGTATTTGTTGAGTTTGAAGGAATAATTTATTGCTTAACAAATATCTCCTCGTTTTATATTGACATGTACAAGTATGATATTTTTGGGTAAATTAGACAACAAACTGCTTTGTTGTTCCATTAAAAGGCTCAGGACTATTTTGAAAGACCATTTGTCCTTTTAAACCTCTAAATATTTCTACTCCTAAATCTACTGATTTTACTATTACGTTAACTAGACTAGTCGCAAATAAAAAAGCAAAAGGAGCAAAAGTAGAGACAATATTCATTCTTCTCCAAAACGTTCTTCTTTACTAGTCTTGCCTTAAATACTAAATTATTCGTCGAGTGACTAGACTCCTTTCTATCTACAGTAAACAGAGTTTATCGAATTCACAAATAATATTCGCAATAAAAATCTACTGTATAACATTCAAACAACCACACGGTGTAACAAGAGGTCGGACGCTAAATTGAAATGCCGAGGGCTCGGAAGATTCGGCGCCAAAGGGGCTATTTTTATGACTACCCACGCATAGCCCACTGAGCAAATAGACGAAAGGTATGGATAATACAGTCACACACGCGTCAGAGCGAGACAGAATATCACCGCTGCGTGGCTCAGTAACGGTCGAATGGGCGTTCTGTTTCTTACAGACGTTGAACAAAAATACGCGGGACAATCGATTTCATTTCGACGACGTAAAGACTTAAGTCGACGCCGTTTCTAAGTTAGACAATTCAGATCTCCTTACAACGGACCTCTTTAGACGCAGTACTTAGTACGGAGTACCTAATTCTGTTTTGGAAAATGTTATTTCACTGTCTTTCTAATCCGCTTTCCAAATGAAATAAAAGCTTGTCTAGACATCATAATATCAAAAATAGTCGCTAATTTTCTCAATTATAACATATATCTTAAATTTCGATATTTGTTAATATTGCAGCGAATCTCTGAATTTACTTGAGAACTAAAATCAAATTTTAATGCAAACACTTTGGTCCTACATTTAGAAACCGATTCACTTTTACCTTGTTAAAAATGGAAATGTTGAAAATGGAAAGAAAACAACATTCTACCAAAACGGTGAATTTGAAAACGTAAAAAGAGAAATAAGTTCTTGACTTACGACGTTCCGTGCTCAGGCTTGTGTACCATAATGCCACGTTTCACGCGTGAGTGCACAGAACATTTGTTGTCGCATTCACACTCGCGGAGATCGAATGTAGGCCTGCACCGGACTGTATCGCCGCCCTTGTCACACGGATTAACGTCAACGACTCGTAGAGGCATAGGAATTGATGGCTAACCTCCGAAATATTTACTAAAATGGGTCTAGTAATGATATGATATGAAAACATTCATTACGTGTGCTATTGCTAATAAGATTATTAGACACTTCTTAAACTGTTAAACTTAGAAAAAATGATGTTTTTATTGAACGTGATTAGAAGATACAAAATGCTGGAGCGTATATCCGAACGTGGTCAAGGAACGTAGAATTTTGGACACGGCCAATTTGAATTTGGAATACCCGATCGAGGTGAACGCGACAGTATGCAACTCGACACCGCCGAAACGCTACCGACGCGCAGTTTCGGGGCTTCTGCGTGCAGTGTGCTGTAATACGTAGCCGTATGTAGGCCGGTTTCGTTTTCGTTAACACGCAAACGACCGTAATTGGAGATTATTTTGTTATGCATCAAATTTTTAAATCGATCAAAACGTCAAACTTCGTTCTGGTAACGAGCCTTAGTGCAGAGATGCATCAAATTTTTTTCTTTTAAACAAATGAAGTAAACAGAACAAGTCAATGTCAAAAATATGAATTAAAAGATCTTTTATTATAACCTTAAAATAGTAACAATGAGTTGAGTTTGAAAAATAGGAAAGAGTCTGTTTTCTGATAAATGAAATACGAATAAAATAGCGTAACATTGATTCCAGTTAATAATAAAATCGACGTGAACACGTGCCGCGGTGTTTGTTGCCCTCTCCGACACGCCGCGATGCGCTCACTTGCTTCCTACACACTGTGACACATCTCTATTAGACATTGCCCACTGTTTTAGACAAGGGATATTTATACTATTAACTCAATAGAATACAATTCAATAGAATTTAGCTGGTATATCTTTTTTTAGAATAATACTGGCAGTTACAACGGTATTCTAAACCACTCCGTTATAAACAAAATCGAGTACTTATTTTGTTTATTTACACAATTTAAAGGACCTTAAAATACCCTAAATTTGATACGATTGCGTGAGTCGCCTCGTCGTGACAAAAACAAGTACAGGATTACATAAGTTTATGGTAAAAAGATACAACACATGGGGCTTTTAAAAGTGTTTTTTTTTTCGTTTTAAGTTTAATAACAATAAGATTACATCATTCCTTGACCTCCTTTCTTTCCCACTTACCTCTGGCTCCAATAATCGTTTGTCAGTTCCTTTTTTATTCAATTCACATAAACCAGACAAAATCAATAAAGAACCTTACTACAAAATCTTAAATTCCAAATTAAATCGTTGTTAATTTATAAAATGCGATAACTCGATCTCTTTCACGAACTCCAAATATACCGCGAAACTAACCAATCTCGGCGTCCCAGGGGTTTTGCAAAAAATCGCCCCCGAACCAAACCGCACCCTCCAAACCGCGCATCACCGGGGAATCGAACGGGTCTCCTCGGGTTAAGCGCGCACGTTAAAATGTTTATAGATAATACCGATGTAGGTAATGCTAGTCGTAATTCCATGGGGTTTGCATCCCCCTTGTCTGATGGTATTTGTATTCAGCGTAATGGCTTTTGTCCGGATATCGCATAGGTATCTGAACGTTGAATGGACTAAGGAAATGTCGAGGGGTCTGTACTATTGATAGGTTTTTGTATCTATATAAAAGCGATTTGCCACTCATCGAATCACTTATCGAGAATCGGTTGTAAAAAATCCCATTTGCTATTTACATTGATATTTTAATTAATTACTAATAATTCAGTAACAACACGTAATAGATGATAATTACCAAGTAAAATTAATTCTACTAAAACAAAAGCTTCGCCGAACATAAAATGTTCGCGTTAAAACTTTTTTACCCCTATAGTAAAACAAAAAATGCGAAAAAAATCTTATTCGCTATGCCATCATCATATCACTTTAGATGACAAATTCGAAAACCGCCCACATTATACGGAACTAGACAAAAAAAAACTTTCAAAACAAACGAAGAGAGCAATCGATCAATAACAAAATCGATTATCCGCGTAAATGCAGATCTTGTTAGTAGTTTTTATGTGGCCAGTACTACGGACCACCGGCGCCGTGCCCATGGATCTCTAACATAGGATCGATGATCTATCGCTTGTCTCGCGCGGGGTAATGAGCTGCGCGCCACGTGACACCTGTCAATGTCACCGTGACGTACGAACGCCCGCGCACTTTACACCGCTCTATTGCTATAGGGTTGCCATTGGAGAAATTAATTTTTTTATTAATCAAAGTAAAAATGCACTCGGCCGAACAACATCTCTTTCCTTATCTGGAAAACAATTTTTATATTATTATCTTAATGAGAATATAATGTTATTTATTTAACAAACTTTAACAAACGTTCTGCGAAGACTTAAAAAAATTTAGAATGTGTCAAAGTTTGAATGTCGCCTATTAAACATGCCTTATTAAATTCGATTTACCGCAACCCTGTAGCTCTTCAACTATCACAGGTCTTGTCGCGAAATATGATATATGCTCTTGCCTTATGATGTCCCTATACTGGTTTCATTCACCAATGAGATACATAATACGTTAACGTCAAAGGTGATACAACGACAAGCCAGCAAGAACTCTCTAGAATATATTTGTTGCAGAATTAATCATGGGAAAGTTTAATTCAAAACTAAAAGTTCTATACTAAATCTATGTACCGTCTCACATTCTTTACCATTTAATGTATATAATACGAATTGTATTATTGTAATATATGTCCTGAATTCTTTGTAGTATTGATTAATATGTCGGCTATAAAATACGTGAAAACATTTCGTTCGTGGTACACATTTAAATCGTACAGCAAAAAGATAAATCCTTTTTCAAATTCTAATACGACACACGTACAGTCGCTCTTTAATCTGTGCCCCGTTCCGATCTGATTGGTTAAAGAGCTGTCAAAAACAGAAGTCGTATTTTAAATGCACCTCTCCTATTGGATGGTGTCGTGTTCGAAATTCGAAAATTCTTTTTTTCTGTGATCTGTCTACGAAACAGATTTTTGTAATTGGAAACGGTTGAATATTTTGGACGTATTTTAATTGGATAAGAAGATATGAGAGTTACAACTAATTCTAATAAGAATTATTCTATATAAATATTGTACTTCTTTTATTTTGCGTAAAATTTATATTATATGATCACTTTAAATTGTGAATATCACTACATAAACAAGTTAGGTTGAAAATAATCGCAAAATTAAAAATCCAATTAAAATATCGCTTATATTTATTCTATCAAGTTTACGATATATCCATTAGCTTTACAACAAATAAAAAACTCAAGCTTATAACCAGCATAGAAGATTAAAATGCAAGTACGGTTTTTTATTTCATGTTCCATCCCGGACTAGTCTAGTCTGTGCGAACATTACCTTCCATTAGCGGAACAACGGATTAAAACAGGGAATCGTGAAGCGTTCCCGAACAAAATGTTACAAAACATATACTGAATTGCCAGCTTTTGTTTTTACAAGTTAAATATATTGTGGAAATGTAAAGTTCTAAAAATTCACTCCATTTTAAATTCTAATTCGAATCTCCTCGTCTTATGTATTAGCGGTACATTGGTATTCAAAAAGTACTAACAATCGATTATAAAAATTCAGCGCAGCATTTAACGGCGCACATTCGCGATAATAAAATCGCAACCCCCACATCGCCTTCCCGGCCCGCGGCGGGGAAAAATACATTTTCCTCGTTGCCTGGCAACAAGAAAACAGATATAATATCTAGGGACGCCCCACCGGAGTAATACATAGATAGAAGTATAAAAGGCAGGACCTACGTGTTAAAATGGGCATACACATAGGTTGTTATATTTGTGTGTGCCAGGTTTTTCACGCATGCGTGCTTTTTCGCCGAAAGTAGATAGATATTGGGGTTTTTAGGAACAGTGTGGGAGGAGAAGGGTGGTTCCCTAATCTGTGTCCCTTTGAGCGTCCCGATTGGAATTTAGTAATCATATTAGATTTTAAATTACACGTGTACGAACTTTAAAGGGCGGGGAGGCCTGACAATTTATTTCCTATTAGATAGTTGTTTACAGTTTGGTGGACATGGAAATTTTATTTGTATCCAATTATTTATAATGAGAATCGGTTACGGGTGGCCATTTTGGATTTCGTCAATGAAAATTGAATCGTAATAGTTAAGACACGCTTCGATAGTCGAAATAATCGGCAAATTCTTTTGAGAAAAAGTTCTTATTTTGCTTTTATTAATCTTCTTTCTTTTTAGATATTAAAATATCTTTTAATCTCAGGCTTTTATATGAATTCATTGTAAGACGAATTTGTAGTAACAATATCATCTTTTATTTACCTATAATATAACCTATAAGAGCGAAACTTGACCTAGTTTATACTTTGCTTTCTTAACAACGCAAGGAAATATTTAACAAAATGTTTGTTTTCTTAGCTTTATCTTCATTTATGGCAACGGGCTAAAAATTTATTCTTCACTCGCTTTATTTACCACATTTCTATGCACGTAGTATCTAAGTGGTCTTTTTCATTAGGTCTCATCAATAAATCGAGTGTTACGGAACCTCGCGTCGCAGAAGGAGCAAGCTGCGTCCGCGCAGAACGACAGCGTGTACGAGAAACTGAGGATGTTCAACGGCCAGGCGGCGAGCGGATGGTGGTACCCTGGTCTTCCGGCGCCCGCGCCTGCGATACCCCCGCCACTGCCGCCGCAGCTCAACAGGACAACGGAGGAACATAAAAGAGGTATGCACCATGTTCCATATTTTATACCGTGGAACATACTCCTGGTTTATACTGTTTTATACAGTGGAACATTGTACGGGTTTGCAATATCTATACTTTTATACTTATATTAATATTATAATAAGGAATAATTTAGATTTTTGAATTTTTATATGTATTGAAATAACTCAAACACTACAGGACCGATTTGAAAAATTTTTGCTCCATTAAAAAGCTATGTTATCACTGAGTAAAATAAGCTATATGTTTACTATTTTTTTTTTGATTTTACGCGGGCGAAGTCGCGAGCAACAGCTAGTATTTTAAACAATCGATCATAATAGTTTCGTATTTATCTAATTTTTAATGGTTTTGTTAGATGTTATCTACCTTCTATATATAACTATTCAAATGTAATTTCTGCCATTAAAAATATTTTTGCAAAGAAATAGGTTACAAATAAAATGATTTTGTACAGTAAATTTGTAGGAATGTGTAGTGACGCAAGTACATAGTACTGTCATGTTGAGAGGAGATGTGACGATGTCCTTTTTCTATTTCTCTTTGAACCTGCCTCGCGCACTGCCTTTGGGAACTCAACGCGGATAGGGTTGGCACACCACAGTTATGATATAATAATATTTTAATATTTAGATTGATAATCTTTTGTGGATTTTGATGGTTATGATGTTAAATAATGTAATCGAGGCCTGTGATAATATTTAAGAAAAATAATGTATCGCTCTACTATTGCATAAGTTATGCTTTAGAATACTTTAGCACTTTTTATGAAATCCTAGCTTTCGCCCGCGACTCCGCCGATGGGATTCGACGTCTGGAATTTAAAAAAAACAAAAGTGCCTATATGTTCTTCCAGGCTGACCGGTACATATATAACAAAGTTCATCGAAATACATTCTGCCGTTTACACACTCTTACAAACTCTGACAAACATCCGTCCATCCATCCATCTAAACTTTCGCATTTATAATATTACTATGATTAAAAGCTATTAAATCTGCAAAATTATATGCAAATTTCATTTAATTTTCAATAAAATCATTTTAAGTAAATATATTTCTCTATTAAGTTTTTTTTTTTCAAATAATACTTTAACTTTAACTTCAAGCTTTTGTAAAACAAAAAAGATTTTTATATGAAAACTCGTTACGTTTGTAAAAGAAAATTTATAACGTCTAACCCTGGCAATGCTTTCCTCAATTTTCTTGAATGGCGGTAGTGGTGAGGGTAGAAAGGGGGTAGTTACCCCGTTGTTACGTTTATGGAACACCTCGGAGACTTATTCGTGTTCTATATATTTATTTCTACATATATTACTTTATATGTGTATAAGTTACGTGCTTAGATTGAGAAATGTAAGAAAAATCTATTATTATACTTACAAAATTGATATGTTGAAACAAATGCAAGTAAGTATACTTAGAGACATTTTGATGTTCGTTCCAATTTCTTGGTACTGCAAGAAAATTTTAAATGAGAAAAAACTGATTGAATGAGTTGATGTAGTAATATTTGTAAATCGTTCAATTTATGTTACTTTATAATGACAACCATTTACATGATTTTCCGGCCAGTCTCCCGTCGTCGTCAAACAAGCACCAATTTAGCGCAACTCCTCGTTGAACATTGCAACTCTGTAAATTTAATACCCCAACCAATTTTCACGAATAACTGAAAATATGAACTGCGGAGTTCAACGTTTGCCGCGCCCTAACTTTGTTACTTAGTTTGAATTGTATTTCGACGTTCATATAATTTATTTTCATTACTTTGATTTAAAATTTTGTTATACAAACAACTCTGTAATATTGGTATTAATTCATATGAAATTATAATAAAATTATAAACATAAAACCTCTTTCGTATAACTGACCGAAAATAAGTCATATTAGAAAAATAAAAACTCATAATTTATTTTTAAATTTTCATTCCATTTTCAAAAACACGTTGATAACACGTGCATAGACAACATAACGAATTAACTTTTGAACAACCTTCACAGATTAAACTTGATACGTGTGGATCTTCAAAGCTCGACACGTGACCCGAGTAGCCGCGCGTGACTTGACTTTACTCTTGTTTGCGTCCACTGGACATTGGTTTGTTGTCCAACTTTACAAGCGAAATTCGCTACTTTAGTGTTTCTCGTCCTGTGGTACTTTAAACATTTAAAAACTAAATATTTTTTTTAGTTTAAACTATGAAGAAATGTTAGTTTTCCTGCTTTAATTCGTTACATACAGATCTTTAACGAGGACTTACTTGTAAAGTTTTGGTTAATGGATGGATGTTTGTTAGAGTTTGTAGCATAAATGCTTGGACGGATCTCTATCATATTTGGCACAGATGTAAAGGTTAGTTTGAAAGAACGTATAGGCTACTTTTACTATTTCTAATATTATGTGGACAGAGTCGCGAGTGAAAGCTAGTAATTTATAATCTTTGTTATTTTTTAATACAAAACTTTTTCCAGTTATAGAATATTAAAAAATACTTTTAAATAAAGAACATAAAACAAATTCAGCCAGCCGTTAACATTTGCATCGTTTTACAAATGCTGTAGCGCTTTAGCTTTTTGCAAAGCACCTGGTCTGGACACGGCGTAATATATTTTTATACATTTAATATGGAAGCTGTGTGTATTTGTCGACGGAACGGCGACTTAATTAACTTCGGCTGCAGCATTCTGTTTAACAAATTCGATTGCAGGGTGCGCTGCGAGCGCTTGCTTTTATACAATCTGTTACATTCTTGTTCGCAGCTATTTAACTTTTAGAGTAAAGATTATTTCCAGCCAGTCACAATGGATAATACTAGAAAAGTTTATGAGAGAAAAATCATCTAGATTTTCTTTATTGGATTTAAAATTCTGTATTACTGTGTGGCGTTTAAATAATTCAAAAACGTTCAATGGAAATAAAAGCCGAACTGCTATTTCTAACGCCTAACAATTAAGCAAATAAAAAGCATTCATCTAAATTGATCTGACCGGTATAAAATATTGTCCCTCGCAGCAACGGCTACAAATTTTAATTTTCAACTGGCTGTGTTCATGGCTGGACGAACTCTGCCAATGTTTCGGAAGTATACAGATAAAAAACGAAAAAAAAAAAGAAAACTAAATGCTCCAAAAAGGTTTTCGTTGAAAAACTTTACAACCTCAATATGAACTTTTATAGTGTCTTATTGGTTTAGTAAAATTACTAAAACTATGAAAAGGACTGATAAGTCTTTTATATTTGCTATGTGTTAGTTAACCATGTTATTAACTTTCTTAAATGTCTAAGGATATGTTCGTAACTTAATAAACTTAACATATTTGTCAAGGGAATAAGTTTAGACGTTTGATTCAAGTTAAACCAAAGCAAAGCCTAAATTCTGTTATCATATTAGTTTGTGGAATCGACGCTAATGCATGAAATTGGTTAGAAAACCACTTGCACACGGAATCAGCGTCCGACATAGTTAGCGGTTGTACAAAATCACGCGAATTGTATCAACAAACTGTTAAGGACTATTAACATTCGATGAAAATTGTGGACAATGTGAAACGATATATAAATTTGACTTGGAATAAATATTTGTTTATATATATACATTTATTAAAGAATTTACTTACAATAGATTGATCAAATATGAAGTTTGAGATGTTATTAGAATTATTGTTTTTCGATAATTTACATATTATATCTATAGTACTATTTTAAAGAGGTAAAAGTTTTATTTTTGGATTATTATATTTATTGAATTAACTCAAAAACTACTGGACCGATTTCAAAAATTCTTTCACATTTTAAAAGCTTTTTTATTAGTAAGTAACGTAGGCTATGTTTTTTACCATTTTTAGCTCTACGCAGAGGAAGTCGCGAGCAACAGCTTTTATATGCAATGTTTAAAATTTTCTTTTTATCTGTTAAATTTGTTTATCAAAATGTACTTATAATATTTTTTTATTGCTGTTAAATGATTTTTAAACTACAATTTATATTTTTAGTTCTAACTCTATATTCATATAACTAGTTATTTTGCTTTTCTGAATGATCTAAAAGCATACGTTTGGCTAGACGCTGTAAATATTTACCCGCTTTGTGGTAAATCGCGATGGACTGTCTATGTACTGGTCTAAAATCTATAATACGTTTTGTAAGCTATCAAAGAAAATGATTTTACACTTTTGACAACTTTAATAATGCGGCATAGATTATCGCAAATATTTTTGCTTGCATTAAAATTATTTTATTTATATTACCTTATTTAAAATGTAAGAAAAAAACACAATAACTATTAAAAGAATTTTACAAGTTCAAAATTCAAGTTCACTTAACTTCTAAAAGTAGTTAATATATATATTTTTACAGTGTTCTTAACTGTTTTTAACTCTTGCAATTAACAAAAACAATTCGAACAATGCTTTAAAATGTCTCTCCAACTATCAGGGCTGTCGATCACTGAAGCGCCCTCTACACGGTTATATGGCAACAATAGCAATTTAATTGGACCCACCGAGAGGTCTGGCTCGCAGTGTAATTGACTCTAAAATCAAAGAGCGCTCCAATGTTTAAAGTTAAACGTGTTTAATGGATCTTTTACAAGTGGTCATTGATTGCGGTGCTTTGTTTCGACACTTCATATTGAATGTGCTAACAATTGAAAAAAACTTGCGTGCAAATTTTTAGTTGTGCAATGCAACCGACTTTTACTTAACCACAGATGTTAGTATGTAGTTAAAATTTGATGTTGTTTTATGTTGTGGCTAAATGCTTGTTAATTAGTTTTTCCATACATTAAATGAATTTTATAAGTAAAAATCTCATCTCATCATCTGAGGCACTACAGCCGCGGGTGGGCCTGGGTCTGGTCCAGTAAACATCTCCAATTCTGTCTATTTTGGGCCTTTTGCTTCCAGCCCTTGACGCCGATGTTCTTAAGATCGCGTTCGACGTCGTCTAACCATCTAAGTTTCGGCCTACCACGCGCTCTACGTCCATCCATTCGTCAAGTAAAAATCTAGTAACTTTAAAAAACAAATTAGCAAATGACAAAATTAAGCAAAAAGCTTTTAATGTCCCATAATAATAGAACACATGTAAGAGATCCCCTATATCCAAAAAAGAGCACATCCCATCAATTGCTTCACTTGAAGTCACAATAATAAAAACTAAACCTTATCAGCCCCAACGTTAAGTAATTTAGATGACCCTGTCGGGGACATAAAGCGAATGGTTGATTACAAACAACCAATCTAAGCTGACCCCTGCAGCTCCCCTGGCGCTAATAAACTTAGTGTATAGACTTGTGTCGGCATGTAAGGTCTCCACTGAATGGTTAATCTTGGATAATAATAATGCCTTTATTAGGGTGCGAGTACAACTGCTCCGGGTCATTTATTTCTCATTTATCAACATGTTTTATGACTTTAAAAATGTTTTCTACGTTGACGAAGCTTTAAATATCGTCTAAATAAATACTACGTATTTCTATGTTTGTTTTTCTTTTGGACAACATCGTTACTTTGTTGTCTCCGTCGGAGAATAAAAAGTTATTGTTATGATAAACTTTTTGTTTCATTTGTTAAAAATAGGAATAAAACTGTTACGGAAGCGTAGCGAATTAGGCGGATCGCGCCTTGTCCGGCCGCAAGCTGAGGTCGCGAACTTAACCGCACCCCGAGTCACAAGCGATGGCGTTTTTATTTTATTTAATTTTGATTTTTTTTTTTATCTAATATGTAACTAAATATTTGTATCGTGATGCGTTTAAAATCTTAAACGTTGCATATATTTGATACTAGCAAAAAGATACGTAATAAATAAATGTTTATCACTCATGAATTGATTTTTGTTGATCCTTTACTTTTGAATATTTAAATGTTCGTTATTAAAATAAAAGCGTTACAAAATAATGCGTTCGTTATAGTTCATTGAAATCTAGTTCAAGTCACGTTCATTTTTCAAGGACACAAGTGATTATGTTCAGTGTGCTCGTGGCCCGCTCACCTTTCATCACCGGCGTCTGTCGGCTGAGTGACAGTATCGATCTCACATAATCGCGCGCCGGCAATCGCCCCCACCTACGACCGTCATGTCCGCCCCGATAACTCCAATTCCGCTTTATCTCTCCGCTCCCGACTTTCTTCGCTCCCCTTTCTACTTGTTTTCTCCAATTTTTTTCCACCGCCCCCACTTTTATTTCGTTCCTTTTCTTATTTTCTTACTATTATTTTCTCTTATGTATTTTTCGTGTTTCGCCCCGCCCGTGCCCGCGCCCGCGATGCTTCCAGTTCCTTCAATCATTTTGTAGGTCGTTATTGCTAGTATTGTGGCTAAGTGCGCCTCTCGTTCGCGTTTTTCTTTAATGAATACCTCCTTTATGTTCGCCGTGATAAATAATGAAAACCGTAACGTTACAACTGGATACGGCCTTTTGTGTGTTCAGTGATTATTTTTGTGCCGTTTGGAATTCAATGTGGATGTTGCGAGATTTTGTATTTTATGAAACTTTGAATGGCATTGTCTTGTATCCGTCTTTTTATTTTAATTACTGATTAACGAACTTCGCATGAACAACTCGATGATACTTCATTACGTATAGTTTTATTGCTAAATAAATTACCATTTTATTTCACTTAATATTAGATCTTTATAAATAAACTAGCTTTCGCCCGCGACCCCGTCCGCGTGAAACAAAAAAAGTCAGTAGCCTACGTATCCTTCAAGACTATCATCTATATCTATACCAAATTTTATCGTAATCTGTTCAGTCGTTTAGACTACAAACTCTAACAAACATCCATCCATCCATCTAAACTTTCGCATTTATAATATGACTATGAATTATGATATTAAAATCTCTTATGTGGCAAAAATTATAATAATAAGAGTAAGACAGTGACGTCATTTTTAAGCTATCTGGGCCTATATCAGCCAGTGGTGGGAAAGGCCCTTAATTCTTAGTGATATGGAATGAAGATCACATCATGAGTAAGGGAGTGAGTATATTTTTTAAATGTTGCATTCGTGATATGATAAAGGCGAGCACACACGCGCGTCAATTGGACCGATCAATCAAAATTGTCAACCGATTGGAAAGTCCGCCATGTTTCGGCGAACGGCTGTCGGCCATCAATCATGTGGCGCTATTCTCGGTGTTATAAGCCGTGTGTACGTTTTCATACTGCTAAACGTATATCCTTTATTATGTTTTAAAAAGATAAAGTTTATAAACGTCTTTTTATAGAATTGATACGATGTAACATAAAAGTTAACGTAACGGTATGAACAAAATTAACCTTTTTGTTTTCTAATATCAAATGATGATGAAATATTCGATTACTTACATACTGTAAGGATTTTACTTTTAAAAGAATTATTGAAAAAAGTCTGTTATAAGAGTAACAATCAATTTATTAACAACTAGCTGTTGCTCGCGAATTAGCCCGCCTGAAATTTAAAAAAAAAGTATTAGAAATAGAGCCTACATATTACTTATTGATAGTATAGCTTTTTAATGGTGCAAGAATTTTTGACATTGGACCAGTAGTTTTTAAGTTATTTCAATACATACAAAAATACAAAAACCTAAAAATACAAATCTTTCCTTCTTATAATTTGTTAGATATAATAATAGTCTTATAATAGTATGGAATATTTCTGCTAACTTTGTCCTAATTTAACATAGGTTTCCATTAAGAATATTAGCTAGCGTCTATCGATAACGTACAGTTGCAAAAATGTGACAGATTGCGTAACACTGGATCTATTGAAAGAAATCAGTAACCCGTACATTAGCGTGCGGGAACCGAACCCGGCCTCTCGAGACCATAAAGCAAATTAATCAATTAGCCGGGGGCATGTCGACAACATTACGACTAATGTTTAATTTTGCAACCACCCTTATTTAGGGGATAGATACAACTATTGTTAACTGAGCTGTACAACGGTTGTAATATTTGCTACATGCGGATCATAGTGACTGGTTGTTGTTACATTTTTGTCTGTAATTCTGGGGTGCAATTGAACAATTCTGCTGACGCATTTGGTTGATAGTTGTCGAGTGTGTTTTGTTCGTGCGCCTTGTGTTGATAGTTTATGATGAAGAGGCTCAAGACCCCTCCGTTCAAAGGCATTCTGTACACTACAGTTAGCAGTGACATTCAAAAACAAGAAGTGCATAAGTGCATTTGATATTGATGCCTAAAACGTTTTAGTTTAGATTTATATACGTTTACAATTTATTAAATGACTCCCTCGAAGCGTAATTCAATACAAGCTTTTGCACGTGACTCTGTTTCCGTGGAATTAAAAAAAAAAGTAAGTAGCGTAAGTGTTCTTCCAGACTATCCTTTACATCTATACCAAATTTCATTAAAATCCGTTCAGCCGTTTAGGCTACAAACTCTAACAAACACCCATCCATCCATCTAGACTTTAGCATTGATGATATTACTAAGATAACATTTAACATCAAGCGAACTCAACTTACTTAGATGCACTCATAGACGTTAACTGATCACCTAACGATTCTGTGTCGCTGTGACTTACTTGACTACCATAACTTAACATCTATAACTTTTGTACCCTTAATAGTTTCCGTAGGTTTAAGATATGTAAGTTGCCTTTCGAAGTTCTAATTATAATTCTCTGTTCTAGTGGAACCACTACAATCTGAAGCGGGTTCTGATGGCAACAGCGAGCACGCGTCCTCCGGCGACGAAGATTCGCAGATGAGGTTGCGATTGAAGAGGAAACTGCAACGAAACCGGACATCATTCACCAACGACCAGATAGACAGCTTGGAGAAAGGTTCGAGATTATTATATAGCTTGTAAATTAATAAGATAAGCGACAGGTAATTTAATCAACCAAGTAGGTTCTTGTTCCGTTTTTTATTTTCTTATTATATGGTCGCAAAAGAGCAAGTGGCCACCTAAATCCACCGAAATGGAAAGCGACCGCTGCCCATATACATCCGCAACTGCACATACATTGTCTACCCTTAACTAACGGAGAAGAAGACGCTCATAAAGAGAATATTTCCCCTTCCTATATGTGTCCATCACCGTCTAATCCACTTTTCCTTCCCATCGCTACCTCTAAAGAGAAAGGCACTAAAACTAGGCTTTCGGATAAAATATTACTTAAAAATTATAAACACAATGAGAGTCCTGTTTAATGGCCGAAGTCTAAAATGTATTATAATTTAAAAGAAAAACAACTAGGTTTATAAACCAAACATACTTAAGTTTATCAATGTCTTCTATTCTTTTAATGGAATAAAGCATTGATTGATAAACCTTGTCAATCTGAATAGCGTCAAAGTTTAAAGTACCAATAATGTAAAGAAGGACGTCAACATTTCAACGTAAGCACTCCCCAGAGCCTTCATAAACCTATTTCCCAATGATTCCCTTTCATCTTATTTATTGTTTGCTGCGACAACACGGGTTATTAGTAAATAAATAAATATTGTCCCCCCGATGTTTGGCCAACTCTCCGGTGGCGCCCAATTATTGATGTTGCTCCGTGTTAATCTCACTTTTTGTTGCCTGTTTATTTGCTCTCATACTCTACCGACGGTTTATTGCTTTTCTTTGTGTTCGATGTCGCTATTTCAACATTATTTCTCTGTTATTCGTAACTGAATGTACTGTTTTGATAGTATACCAATAAAATATGCTTTATTGCATTGAAATTTATAACTAAAAATAAAGAAAAAACTGCCTTAAATCTGGCAATTTATGAAGAATTTGTTAGACATTAGACAGCTGAGTAAAATGATGAATTGTTATTAAATTGTAATTAGCGACATATGTTAATTATTTATTATTGTTAACAGAATTCGAGCGAACGCATTATCCTGACGTGTTCGCGCGGGAGAGGCTCGCTGAAAAGATCGGATTGCCTGAGGCACGTATCCAGGTAAAACATAACTCCAGTTTACACGCGGTAAGCAGGCCCTGACGATGTCGGTACCTCTCACAACATGGCGGCCGCGTTCCGTTACACGCGGGAAAATAACCAATTTAATTTAATAGTAAAATATTTAACTACACATTTAGTTTTTAAGCAGTTTATTTTAGAAGAAATGTATATGTATACTATAATGCTATACTTATTATTATTACGTTAATATGCGACATAAATATTCATGTTTTTTCTTTGGTAAAAGTACGAGTATGTCTTAGTAAACTATCACAAAAGCACTACATTTTAAGAAACCATAACGTGTTTCTAGTTTAAAAAAAATTAACACGATTTTTTTATTCGTAAATTAAACGACAACTTGCTTATATTATTTTTTAACGAAAAGAAACTTTTTTGTTTTTAATAAAGCTTTCCGAATTGTGTATAACGTTGTTTACACTGCATGTTTGTGTAGGCGCGGGCATCATGTGGATGCGTCTTTAGCAAACAAACTGTAAAAAATACGAGGGATAATAGCCCCCACCGAGGTCCATATTTACATAATGTACATAACGTTTGTAAATATTACGGAATATGAGGGACTGGGTATATTTTAAACCGTTGTTTTTATATCCAAATTAACAATGCCTTGTTTACCTTTCTTGTGTACATTTTGTTTGTTATAACGTTGAATATGAATTTTCGATAAAATTAATTGAAGTGTTATAACAATACGGAGGTAAATTATTGTAATGTATTTTTATTTTATCAATTAATATTAAATCGTATTCTGTGAATTGTGTAAGAACTAAAACGGAGTAACTACAAACCTGTAGTTACTCTGTTCTAGCTTAAAGACGTCACTTTCAGATAAGGTATTCCCTTATTTCCATCACATATTTTATACGTTGAATTGGTATCAGGCTACTTAGGCTATAGGCTATAGGCTATAGGCTATAGGCTATAGGCTATAGGCTATAGTCTACTTTTTATCCCGGGAATAGTTACGGTTCCCGTGGGATTCATTAATTTAGTTTTTTAATGTTTACTCGATCATTCTGCAACGGTTCAACAGATCTTATTGAAATTTGACACAGATATAAAACAAAGTCTGGAGTATACATGGGATAAGCTTCATCCCCGAGAAATGTCCGGTTCCCGAGAAATACGTAACTTTTTGTAATTTATAGAGTTTGTACATTTTCTAATACCACGCGGACGAAGTCGCGGGCAACAGCTCGTCTATAATATAATCTATAATCTATAACGCATAGCATCATAGATAAAAACGTAAATATTAGATCTTAGCTTCACCATTGATGTTAAAAAAAACATTATTTAACTTAGTTCCTGTAAAAGAATCTTCGAAACTTAATCGCTTAATTCGTTGCCAACAGTTTAAAAAGTCGTCCATCACTACGACTTGCCGAAACTGCATAATGCTTAATGCATTTTCAACTGCAACCTTTTAAGTATACAAAGCACTTAACAAAATACAAATCGAATTATTTACGAAACGTGCTTATCATTGTGACTTTGAAAAAGGGTTTTAACTTAACCGGAGTACTTTTATGATGTATTAATATTTTAACTATTTTAAAAACTTTCTGTTTATTTTTTAAATACTTATTTAATTATTTTTATGGCATATGTATGTTGAAAACGTGCCATTATATACTTTGTAAGCATATTTTTTGGTATAAAATGGTCTTTTTTCGTAAAATTTGGTTTACCAAAACAATTCTTACAAATAAAATATACATACATAACTTGAAAAGGTAAGGAAAATAGAAAAAACAATTCAAAACTTTTATTTTTGAGAGGAGGTAGGAAACCTTTCTTGTTCGTCAGACAAAAAAAAATACTACGGCTGTTTTTAGCTACGAAGCGGGGCTAAGCTCTTACATTAACCTCTCGTCGTCAGAGGTTATTCAACATTCGTGGCCTCTACGTTCCTACGGAGCTACGACGCTACGCCGTAGAAACGTTTCGTAGTCCGTTCGGTCAACAAGTACTCATCGGATATTTAGGGTTACTACATACGATATTATCTTAATTAGTATATTTATGAGGAATATAATATTTTTAACGAAGACGTAACTTTCGGTATTTTTAATGCAAGTAAACAATGATTCAATAACCACGTAGATTTTCTGTGAGAAAGGAAAGTTTTCTGAAAAAGATTTATTTATTTTTGGGTCAGATAAATATGTGAAGAAAGTTTTATGAAAATTAAAAATTACGACAAGGTTTTATTAATTAAAGTGTAATTTAAATAATTGCTCGACAGCCCTAAATATAAATGTTAATGATCGTTCAAGCCACATTAGACTCTAACACTAATGTGTAAAGTTGAGTTTTGTTTATTTTCGTACGGCGAGGCTTTCGAGGAGGGTTTGAAATCGTTTCGTATTCGAGCCGCCGACGCCACGTGTTGCCCCGGGCTTGGGGTTCAAGGCTGTGTCGGAATGGGGAATAGGAACTCCATATTTTCTAATACACTATGTAGTATCTTAATACTTAGATTTTTTTCTTGTAGTCGTAATATTTAAATACTCTACATGTCCATAATATTAAAAGTATGTAATAAAAATATTTAAATTGCAATTACAAATTGTAATATTGTTTATTCAGTTTCTTTGAGGAACAATCTCATTTTTCCTACAGTTTTTCTACCATTACTTTTTATTTTGCAAATAAAATGAAACAACGAATAAATATAAAACAAAACTGCCTCATAAAAATATATTTGATGATCTCAGAAAGAATATATAAAGATACAAAAACATAGTAAAATACTTTACATAAAATGTAAACATAGTCACCGTACAATGAGGGACCCGATATCGATCCTCGAGCCTACAGTCAGCGGGGGTGAATTTCCTGTGGGGTGTGTTTTGAAAAATTGGCACCCGAACATACAACAAGGTTTTTACTAACAAAACATTCCAATTTCAATTCTATCCCACTTGTATTAAGGACGCGGTTACAAGTATTTACATTGGCTTGAATAAATGAAAAGATTTCGCGGTGTTCTAGCAGTGTTCTGATTTATGTACTGTTTCGTTTTATTCGCTGTTTGATAGATGGCGTAAGGAGCGTTTGTTTATCGAGTACTCGCTTTTCCAATGGATGGGATTCAAAATATAAATCACAAAAGACTAAAGTCTGGCCGAGGAAATAAAGTAAATAACAATAGTTATAAAAATAATTCATATATTGTCAAAATTATCAAAAAAAAAACGGTGTTCATTATTTTTGCGTCGCAAAATTTTTAGCTTTGACCTACAGACGCTTAGATCTAATGAAACAGTCTAATTGTTAAATTAAATCTGGGCGTATGTGAGAGGGTACTAGATTTAGATCCTAAGCCTCGTACTTTAAACTATTCCAAATTAAAAATGAATTCCATTCACTAAAAAAAAAGAAAATAAAACCGTCAATTGCCACATTCGCGGCAACTTGTTGGCGTAATAACAATATTATGGTTAATCTCATTTACTAAGGAACCCCAATGTTGTAATATTTCGCCAACTATGGGGGCAGCAACGCAATTTATAAAAGGCCGACGGGAAATGACGTGAAGGCGGGAGAAAGGCCTGTCATCGCTGTCACGAAGAAATATCTATGGAATGAAAGGAAAAAACGGAGATGTCATAATATTTTACTGTGACATTAGGACCCTTACACACGGGCGCAGTTCCGTCATCATGACAGATGACAGTCTGTTGGGTGTATAATCTTTGAGAGTACATTACATGGGATATAGTTTGGTATTATTATTTAAATTCATATTGTTGCAACTAACTGTATAAATACAAAAATAATTTACGTGTTACATATGTAAAAACATTACTTAATTATTTTTCACTACTAAAGATTAATTAAGTACGGAACTTAATTATCTTACTTAATTTTAACACGAGTGTAATAAAATAAGCTTACCATTTATATGAGGATATTTTCTGTATAGTTATTCTTACAATGTGTACTCTACTTTAGTAGTCCTTTTTCTTTCTACGAATGGGTTTTTGTGAGGGGTACGAATAAAATATTGTAGGTAACATTCGGCCGATTTTGTTGGAGGCCGAGGCAATAATATTATGACATATTGCCTCTTGTTCGACCTCTTTGAGCGCTTGGTTTTTGGGTTTTACGTATTTTCTTTTTAGAAGGCAATCTTGAGAAAATGTTAAGCCCCACTCAACGTTTTTTCACCTTATAAGATACCAGTTAATATAATATTTGACCATAGTAATATTCGTTAGTTCTGACATTATGAAAACATTTGTTAAGGTCAATTAGGGCATTATCAAGTAGGCAATGTTTTTAACATAGCATATATTATTGTAGGATCACAGTTTTGTTAGTGAAAGTTATACCTTTAAATGGGTCGAGATTTAAAGAATATTAGATTGTACGAATTTATTATCACCTAAACTACAGCATTTTAAATTTTAAATTGTTTCGTGGGTACTGATATATTATTGTGACTATTTGTTTAAAACAAACCATCTTGAGCAAAGCGCGGGAAAGTACAGCCGCCATGTTGTATGGTGGCGGAAGTGACGCGCACGTGAGCGCCGCTTCCGGCGCGCCGTTCCGTTTCGCACTCAACGTCACATTATGATATCTACTTTATTAATTTAAATTTTAAGAAAAACGTTTTGGATACGCTTTAATTATTCACGTTTCAAATATTACCGACAATAATATAAGGGAAATTATCAAACTTTTATGTGCAAAATAGGCTAAGAGTTAAATTCTTATATTTTAAAATCTCTTTTAAACTATTAATGAATTTTTGCTTAACATGCGATGTTATTTTTCCTCATAATTACTTCCCAGTAGATAGAGGTGTTACCGAGTTTAATTTTGTTAAACGCCTTAATTATCAGTATATGCGTTAGGAGGGTGTGCACTTTATTAAAATTTTAATTAATGTGACTTTAACGCTTCATGAAAATATCAATTTATGATAGAGATGTATGTGATTACTAACATTTATCGATAAAAACGATTTAGATGTAGAAAGTTGTCATTATAATACTAATCATTAACTTTATTAATTTAAGATTTGGGCACACTTCAGATAGAATTACAAACTTACATAGTTTATATTATTTTAACATATTTAATTACCGATCATGGTTATTTATTTTAAGATTAGGAACAACGTCAATTATTAGTTGATGTAATAAACCTCGAAAGGGTTTGTGTATCTTAGTTGTTAGTTTTGATCGTTATAACTTTACATCAGAACCATAGATATCTAACCAATGTCAACCATCAGGTGTGGTTTTCGAACCGTCGTGCGAAGTGGCGGCGGGAGGAGAAGCTACGCAGTCAGCGGCGAGAAGCACCGG